TCAGCAGAGATCTGATTGTTCGCTAAACCCAGCAACTCCTAGAAATGCTTGGTATATAAATCCATCCATTTGGTATGTTTTTAGTATAAAAATACCGATTAATCAAAGATTTTTAGCAAAAATGCTAATTATTTTCTACAATACAAGTTTAACTCGTCATATCTCAAAAATAGAAACTATGCTCAACTTGACATTTCGTCTACTTTAAAGTATCCCCATAAGCTATCATTTAGTCCACTTTCGAATTGAATTCATGAGGTCGACGAAACGGGCGAAAAATTGGGTTTTTTTTGGGTCACTCTTTATTTTTTATATTTTCAAATTTATTACGCGACATGGTTTCAGAAACTGTATCGGAATGGTACAAAGAATCGTTAGACCAATAATCGCTATAACATTTAAGACTGTTGATAATAGAAAACATAACATAACAATGAATTTATTCAAATCATCAGTATCAATATCTAAATCATTTTCAGCACTTGCTTCAATTATATAATATTTTATTTCATCTGAAAAAAATAACTCAAACAACTCATCGCATGTTTTTTCACGCAAATTATTTTTTATCTCCTCATCCAAAAATATTTCTGATTTTGGTATCGAATCATAAAATTTTTCTCCATCTTTCCATACATACTCATGTGAAGGTTCTAGTTTTTTATTTGAAGAAATGAGGGATTCGTCAGCTATTTGATACTCTTCTGGACAATTGCGTCCTTCAATAATCTGAACACTGTCAGCTGAATCGTTTTCATTGTTTGATTCATCTCCACTTCTAATATCATCAGGAATCACAGCAACGTTTCTAAATAAACTTTCGGGTAAATTAGAAAACGTTTTATCTGTTCTGTCAACATGATCGGAATCTAAATCCATAAGCTCAGTAGTTTCAACAGTAATGCTACTGTCTGATTGCTTTGCGTTTTTCTTTGGCATACTTCACATCAGATGTTATTTTGTAAAGTTATTCAAAATTATAATATTATGAGGTTCAAAAATATTATAATAAATCAATCGCAGTAGTAATCGAAGTTTTTATATAAATTATTATTATTGTAATACAATAGTAATGTGAATTTTGTAGTTTATTTTTTTTAAGTATATAAATTTGCAAAAATATCGGGTACCTATATGGATTTAGGCTTACAGATTTTACTGCAAGTACAAAAAAATGACTGTTCGCCACCTAGCGGCCGTTTTATAAGTGAAATATGATTTGAAATAATTTTATTGTAACTTTTATTATTTAGAAAATTAATGAATGCTAAACCTGTGGATTTTCTCTAGAAAAAATATATTTATAAAATAAATTAAGTTTATCAGCCATTTCGAATGCTCGATATTGATTTTCGATGCAAGAATTTTCAAAAATCAACACCAGATATCAAATCAGCACCCTCAAAAACACAAGAAATATATATTTTCTCATTTTCCTTCATTTTTCAGAATTTTTTAATTTTTCGTCCGCCATTTTAAATTTTGGATTTTCAAATATATCAATAATCGATAACAGAAGTTCTAAAACCATACTAATAGTGAAATAAAATTATTTATTAGGTATACGTTACATACTTTACTCGAAAAAAAAGGAAATTCAGTTAAAATAAAAAATGAAATTTTCACTAAGTTTGAGCCGCCATATTGTTTTTGGATCGCAAAATTTTGGAAATCTGTTTGCAGAATCAGAATGAACAAGTCTTTTTGCTTCGGAAATGGTATTTTGCATGTCGATCTCAAGCGATTCTATCCATTTTACAAGACGATAAACCAATCGGTAGTCTCATGGTCGATGGGGAAGAAATGGGTTAAGCGAAAATGACTAGGGTAGCAGACAAGGACTAACGGGGATTCGAGCAAGTATAGCTCTCCTCCATGGAGAGAGAAAGAGAACCGAAAAATCTCCTTTATGAGAGAATAGTCACGCTATGCTAGAGCGTGGGAGAGAGAGAGAGAGAAAATGCCGCCAAGCCAAGCTGAACACGTGCTCCCCTCCTCCGCACGCTCGAGCCCTATACCAAATGTATGAGTGTGGCTAATATCCACATTAAGCATTCTCTAAAATACGTGTGGCATTGGCTCTAGTGGTAGAGCGCTAACCTACCAACCCAGAGGACGCCGGTTCCAATCTCCGATCTGTCTGTTCATTTTTTTCACTTATCATTTTCTATTCATTTTCAATGTATCAATAAAATTATCAATAATATTTATAACTTTTTAAGAATATATTTAAATAAATGAGACAGAAAGCACTAGGTGTGGTCTCTAGAGACTATAAGCCCTAGGAACCTTCCTAAAAAAATATATATAATTATTAACATTAATAATTAATAATTATTAACATTAATAATAATTAATAATTATTAACATTAATAATAATAACATTAATAATGATTAATAATAATTAACATAAAAGGGATAGGCCAGGAAACCAAAGGGTTAAGCTAAGGAGCACCGCAGATATTGTTAATAATAATTATTAACAAGAAAGTGTTAGACCAGGGGACCAAAGGGTTACGGACACCGGGCAGAGTGGTCTGAAACAGACATTGCTATACTACTATCAGTAGAAATATACAAGTGTATAATTCGATCGAAGAATCAAAAACAGTATGCAGATTGCATTTTTATAATTAACTCAGGACTCTCAGCCGTAATTCAATTAAAACTTCGATCTTCAGCTCATCATCAAAACTTCAATTTGACAACATTTCGGATGTGCAGCTTTTCCTTCGTATAAATTTCATATGTCAAATTTGTAATTTCGCAAGAGTCATTTACTACACACCGCGTATTAAATATTTATTTGTAATTGTTTTAACTTCAACATATACAGAATATAATGAATCTTTAAACTCTTTATTTTATTTTATACGAAATTGTCGACTCGAGTGATTTTAACTCTGCTGTTGGTGTGGAAATGCGCGTACAAGTTTCTATGTCGTATTCACAATACGCATCATTCAGTCTAACAGTTCCACGGCAAGGTATAAGTTCGATCACCTACCTACCGGTGACCAGCTACTGAGACCTGTTATAAACTGTTATAATCATCAATACAGGACTATCAAATTCTAGATCAACAGAATCACTTGTAGGTAGCGAAATATAATGCCACCCTTTACTGAAAGTTAAATTAGATTATTTTTTTCCTTTATTTCGTCTCAATTCATTTTATGCCATCATTATTATTCTTATTATTTTTTCTCTCTGACACTTGACATCATTTCCCCTCGCCTCTTCCCGAAATGTAATAACAAATCCCAAAAAATCATCGCACTATTTCGATACAATGATTAAGTATAACTTATTGAACTATTGATTTCGTCTTCATCAAAATTAACTCCAAGTTATTGAAACCTAGAACTTGAAATCATTATTTTTAGATTATGAATGAAAATAAAGAATATTTGTAAAAACTGTCTGCATGCTTGGAATAACGATATATACGAGGGTGGTCCGATATGTACTTAGCCTACAAAAGAAAAACGAAAATTTTGGAAAAGTGGCGTTTTATTTGTCAACAGAGTCTCCTTTTAGTTCGATACACTTGGCCCAGCGATGCTCCAACTTCGTTAACCCGTCTGAAAAATATGTTTCCTCGAGGTCTGAAAACTAGGCTTCCGTGGCAGCGATTACCTCCTCATTCGACTCAAATTTCTGCTCGGCGAGTGACTTATTCAAGTTTGGAAACAAAAAGAAGTCGCACGGGGCTAAATCTGGAGAATACGGTGGATGGGGCAGCAGTTCGTAGCCTAATTCGACCAATTTGGCCATGGTGACGGCGGTGGTGTGAGCCGGTGCGTTGTCATGGTGGAAGAGCACTTTTTTCTTCGCCAAATGGGGCCGTTTTTTCTGCAATTCGACGTCGAATCGGCCCAATAATTCGGCATAGTACAGCCCTGTGACCGTTTTGCCCCTCTCTAGGTAGTCGATGTAGAGCATACCTTGTGAATCCCAGAAAACGGTGGCCATCATCTTTCCGGCCGATGGGGCAGTCTTCGCCTTCTTCGGAGCACTTTCGCCGGGTAAAGTCCACTGTTTCGACTGTTCCTTGGTCTCTGGTGTATACCAATGGATCCATGTTTCTTCGACTGTCACGAAACGACGCAGAAACTCCTTCGGATTGCGCTTAAACAGCGTCAGACATTGCTCTGAAGTTGTCTCACGGTTGCGCTTGTTGTCCGGAGTGAGCAAACGCGGCACCCATCGCGCCGACAACTTTCTCATGCCCAAAATTTCATGCAGGACATGACCTACGCGGTCTTTTGAGATGCCTACGATCTTAGTTATCTCGCGCACCTTCAATCGTCGATCTACCAATACGAGATCGTGAATTTTTGTCACGTTATCCTCCGTGGTAGCCGTTTTCGGAGCACTTGGACGTGGCTCTTCAAAAATCGACGTGCGACCACGTTGAAATTCGTTAAACCAATTTTTGACGGTTGCCATCGAAGGAGAAGAGTCACCGTACACAGCATCCAAGCGCTTTTTGATTATGCTGCGCGATTTCCCTTCCAAAAACAAGAATCGAATCACCGACCGATACTGCTCTTTTTCCATTTTTCAAAAATCAACGCTTTCACACGCTCTCAAAAATAAACTACAACTCCGATTCGGCTGAAATCTTGACAGTAACCATCGAGTTGTACTACGTGATAGAATATTTCTTTTGCGAGAGTGGCGCCATCGGGCGGTGAGGTAAATACTTATCGAACCACCCTCGTATATATATATATATAAATCTTCGATTTTAGTACCAGGAATTCTTAAAAAATAAGTTATCTTGCTAACCAAATTAGAAATACACCAAAGGTACTGAAAAATCCACACTAGCGACAAGGTACTAAGCGAGTTTCATAAAATGATGTACATTACGAATTTCTTATTATTTCCTTTATTTTTTTCGAAATTCAAGTTTTATTGAAGCTATCATTGTATACTAACGCTTATTATTAATTCTTGATCAAATTGATAATTTCATTATAAACATATTTCAGATCGACGTATGGGCTGCTGGTGTCATACTTTATATTTTGCTATGTGGATTTCCACCCTTTGTGGCGACTGATAATAAACAAGAAAAATTATTTGAACGTATCCTTTGCGGGCAATATGAATTTAGATCTCCGTATTGGGACAGAATTTCGCAAGGCGCTAAAGAACTTATTTCAAATATGTTGCAAACACAGCCAGAATTACGGTTTAGTGCCGAAGATGTCCTGGATCATCCATGGCTATCGGTAAGTTGCGATAAAAGTAAACTAAAATAAATCGTTACAATGGTTCAAAAGAATAGAATTATTTTATAACAAATGGAGTGATATTGTTTTTTTTATTTTCTCTTATAATTTTATATCACATATTAAAATAATTAAAAAACTGACTACACAGGTTGTCTGAAAAGTTCCGGGACAGCGCGATAACTTGTCAGGAACGCAGTTTTTAAAAAAGTATTTGATTCAAAAATTATAGGTTTTCCCCTGGCTATTCAATAGTGAACTTAACTTTGACCTTGAGCTTAACTTTCAAGGTTATTTGAAAGTCAAGTTTAGTTTTTTAAATGGTAAATGCAATATTTTTTATTACAGAAATAAGAAGCAGGAAACATTCTCTTTCCAATGGTATAAGATGAAACGGTAGGGTCAAACGTTATCTAAAGGTCATTTAAAGGTTAAATGTCTTTAGCAGCCAAGAATTCTCAAAACAGCATTATGGTTTGACTGAATTGTGTTTTCAGAAAAATGTTTCATAACAAAAGTGATAGGATTTTCCTTGACTATTTCATGGTGACCTTGACTTTCACCTTGGCCTTAAAAGTCATTTGAAGGATAAATTGAATTTTTTTTAACAGGACCTTGTCTTTTTAACCTCAGAGAGAAAAAGAGCAACTTATTCGATTTTGGGATAATTCTTCATTTATTGAAATTAAACCTTGCAAGGTCACAGGCAAGATTAAATATCGCTGATATAGAAAATTTGAACAATATGGTCATGATATTAAATTAAAGCCAATTACGGAAAAAGTCTTTACAGTCCAGCCGGTCGAATCAAGATTCTGTAGAATCCAACCAGTGAAAGCAAGATTCTGCACAGTCCAGACAGTTAAGACGAAACCTGTTACACCCCAAAAAATTAAGGCAAGACTGTATGCAGTTCAATCACTTACGATCACAGCTAATAACATTGATTTTAGTAAGTGCTCAAAGTATCCTCCGTTTATCTCCTGGTAATAATCCAATTAATTATAAAAGCTATTGATGACGTTGGTGACGAATTCGTTTTGTATAATACACATTTATCTAACATGCGACATTGCAAATCTTGTAAATTCTGAGGCTTCGTTTTGAAAACTCTATTTTCAATATAACTCTAAAGAAAATAATCGAGTGAAGTTAGGAGGTGATCTAGTTGGTCACAGAATAAATTAATTACGATCTATCCAACGATCTTTAAACATGACGTCTAAATAATTGCGTACATTACTTCCATAGCGAGATAGGGCACCATCTTGTTGCAAGTATGTACGAGGTCTGTCCGAAAAGTATCGGGCCTACGTTTATATCTTCGCGCCATAGTGTTCGAGCGACCTCTATTGGACAGAAACGTCAACAGTAAAGCCTCACGAATTTATTGGTTACTTACTGACACCTGCCGGACGTATAGTTCATGCGCAGCGTGTCTTTGTTTACAGTGCCTTTTTCGCGTTCGCTGGATTTTGATATTGTCAAAAATGACTGAAAAACAAGATCAACGAATTTACATCAAATTTTGCTTTCAACTCGGAAAAACGAGCTCGGAAACTATTGAAATTATGCAAAAGGCCTTCGGAAACGAGTTATAAGCAAAACACGAATAAAAGAGTGGTATAAGCGGTTCAAAGATGGTCACACTTCTGTCGATAGTGATTCTCGTTCTGGCCGACCTTCGACGACAAAAACCGCAGATAATATTGAGCAGGTGCGACTTGCAATCGAACAAGATCGTCGTAAGACTGTGCGATAACTAGAAGAAGACCTTGGGATACCAAAAACTATCATTTCAGAAATTTTAACCGAAAATTTATGAATGAAACGCGTGTGTGCGAAATTCATCCCACAATTGCTCACAGCAGAGCAGAAGAACATTCGCTTAGAAATCGCTCTAGACAATCTGGAAATGGTCAATAAATATGATAATGTGCTTAGAAAAGTTATTACAGGATCCTGAAACAAAACAACAATCTTCACAGTGGAAGCATTCTGAATCGCCAAGACCAAAAAAAGCATGTCAAAGTCGGAGCAATGTTAAGTCAATGTTGATTGTTTTTTTCGATTGTGAAGGTGTTGTACATCACCAATATGCACCAACAGGTCAGACAATCAATAAAGAATACTACGTTCAAATTTTGAAACGTTTGTGTGATGCAGTAAGAAGAAAACGGCCGCACTTTTGGGAAAGTGGTGACTGGCTTCTCCATCACGATAATGCGTCAGCGCATTCATCCAATCTTGTGCAGCAGTTTTTGAGCAAAGACAATATCGCATTGCTTCGACAACCTCCATACAGTTGCGACTTAGCCCCTTGTGACTTTTGGCTGTTTCCAAAACTAAAAAAACCACTCAAAGGACACCGATTCGATGACAAAAGAACGGTTGAAAACAATGCAACGAGTGTACTTAAGGCTATCCCTAAAAGTGAGTTCCAGGACTGTTTTGAAAAGTGGAAACATCGATGAAACCGTGTTATTCAATCAAGTGGGGATTACTTTGAAGGATGCCACCCACCAGATGATAAAGAATAACGCTAGCACGAAAATATAAAGGTAGGCCCGATACTTTCCGGAAAGACCTCGTACATTAATAATAATTATTAAATATTTTATTGTTATAGTAAGTAGCTTTTTAATAATTTTTCCTGTAATATTAATAAAACCATAATGTCTTTGTGTTCTTCACATTTTCAATATTGATTAATACTTCTTTCATTTTCGTTACTGCAATTGGTGTACTGTCTTGGATGTTCAGATCTTCTAGTAAGGTGTCTTCGACTTGTTCGCTAATCTAGCTCACTCGCCTCAACGTTTTGTGATAGATGGAATAAATATTGTTGGTCTATTAAGTCTCTTGGTAACTTGCATAATGAGTAATCTGTTGCTTCTGTCAAATTCAGATCTCTAAGCTTCATTTGCGTTTATGAGTTTTTTTTCTTGATACAGTGATTTCTTTAATTTTTTGATACTATAATTAGTTTCATTTTATCTTGATTCGACCTTTTTATGTGATATCGTTTTCTAAGAAATGTTTGTCTTTAATTTTTACAGCTATTTTATTTAAGTAAGTAAATTGTTGAGATTTTTAATATTTACAATATTGGAACTTTTATTTAGAGCTTCAGTTGAGAATACTACTAGTACATGCGCTTCATCGCTTTCAAGCACATCGATTTTACATGAGTATAGAGATCATTTTAATTTTGAAGAAAGCATGAAAAATAATTTAAACAAAAATTATTCATTCGTCAGTGAAAATTCACATACAGTCTCTTCATTATTCAGAAAATAATCAAATACAGTAATAAAAAATACATTCCATTTACAAAAACCGAGCTACCTTGATACCTTGCATCTTTTGTTTGAAACTTTATTTTATCTGAGGGCACTATCGGTAGTAATCTATACGCATAATTTGAAATGGAAAAAATAAATAATAATTTTAGTTAAGTTTAGTGAAATCTACATTTACCAATTCATACTCCCCTGAAATCTAAAACATTAGTAATTTTCGATTTCGACCTTTTAAGAGCAGTTACTCAGATGGATCACTCTTAATTGGATGGTAGACCTTAAAATGATTTTAAATTCCGTAACAAATCATGCTGTATCAAAATTATCAAATTTGCAATGCAAAAATTAGTTAGTTATATGAATTTTGATTAAAACGGAAAAAATCAGAAAAAATAACTTCAAATGCAAAATCAAATCAACTGGATGCAATGAAAGTTTCGAAATTGAAATCGAATAACTCAACATCATAGTAACAGTTCATTAATAAAAGTTTTTTCAGAATTCGATTTTAATTTGACCTTGTTATTTGACCTGAATATTGTTTCGATGGTAAAATTTCCCGTCGTTTTCGAATCCGGTATTAAATATAGAGGTTCCATTTGAATCACTTTGACAATCAAATAATCTTGAAATTTAAGTTCAAGTCTCGTTATGTTCAACACTGACATAACTTGTAGATGACCCCCTTTGACCTGAACAACTTTTGTCTAAACAATTCTTTCGTACGACGTCAACTTTTCAAGATATTCAGGTTCATCATTTCAACTGGGACACCCTGTATATAAAGCGTGGGAGTGTTTGAATTTTATCATTATAACATTCTAATACAGTACCGCTCAATAACATTTGCCACCCTGTAGACTAAAAATTTAAAACTTTAAAAGTTTTATATTTCGACTTAGGGTAGTTGTAAAAAACCCTGTGGGTACTCATTTTGTAGGGTTTTTTAGTATCTATCAAGGGGCGTAAACTACATATCTGTTTTTTAATTTTTTTACCAAAACTATGACTTTAGAAGTAAAAAATGAAATTGATTTTTTTTACTAACTTTGATGCGATATTATTTTAAGTGATGGGATGTAAAATCTGTCTCTATCGTTTGAAAGCTTGTCCAGAATGCTATAAAACCGATGTCCGAGGAATTTTTTTGAGCTATATCGTATTTTATTAAAAAACACATGTTACAAATCAAATCGATATATCTCTGAAAATATGTTCTTCACAAAAAAATTCTGAAGAAAAAAGTTGTTGCATTTTGGTCAAAAAAACCATTTATAAACTTAGAAAACGATTTTTTTTGTTTGGAATTTATTATATTTTTGAAAAATACATTAAAAATTTAATTATCAAGATAAATAAATAATGAGACGTGTAAAAATGATTTTTCAACTATAAATATTTCTATTTATTTCTATGCTTTGTTATTCTAAATTTTCAAGTACAACTGTTTTGCAACGGTAGTCGATTCGATTAATCGATCCGTTCGAGATTCGGTAAATCTCGCGACGTTAGAGCTAACGACTAAGAGAGAGAGAGAGAGAGAGAGAGAGAGAGGGCGCGCGATAGTTTAAAAGTTTCAGTTAAGCCTCAGCTACTTTCGCGAGAATACCGCCAACTTGTTTTGCACTGTGTTTCGCCGTTTCTTATAAAGTTTTCCTGGGATTGTATATGCGTGAGTGCAGCAATCAAGCAATAGCA